GGGTCATACACGATAAGGCTAACCAAACACAAGGCAATACAAAACGCTTGGTAGAGTCCAGAGAACAATACTTCGCGTCTACCTGTGGTGAACGCGCAGCTTAAATGTCCCAAAAAGTCCCGGAAGAGATTAGCAAGGGTGGCGTCAGAACTCGGGCGAGGGCTCCCTCTGGTGGGCAGGTGCCGGTGTTGACGTTACACTCAGTCATAGAACGATTTTCCACACCCTTAAGGTGCAAAACTGATAAAACAAAGCCTGAATTCACATTTTCATTTTTAATTTCTGAGTGCTGTCCAATTAATTTGTTGGGACGGGATTTAATGTGTAGGATGGGGCTTAGTTTAAAGAATATGAAAGGGATTTTCAGTTTGTGCAATACGACCCCAGACCCCTGCTGTATGTGTATGAGCGGAAACTCTGTAATGCTCCTATCAATAATGTCACAGCAGAACTTGTGAAAAAAGCAAAAGCTCTCACTCTCTCTTTTGGCACAGACTACATGACACCAGAAACACTTCACTGCACTGCACACACACACACACACACATGGGTGCATGACACAGAGTATGAGAGAGTGGTTTAGAAAGTTAGAGAAGGCAGACATTTTGATCCTGAAGCGTTTGATATGGAGTGAAATTAGATGTGCAGTTGAGGTTGATTTATCGTGGGTCTTGGCTCGCGCTGGCTATCCACACCCATTCCAAATGAATTATGCTTCTCCACATGTCTCTCTGGCTAAATCATCCAGTGATCAGTGGAAATATCTAGGACACTGGATGCTCAAAGTGAGTCAGTGTCATGATTGGGAACTAACCTCTGATCCAGTCGTTTGGTTCAGCCCACAATCCAACGCATTTAGTACACCATTGAATTGGTTGGTTGGAACAGAGAGATGTGTGGACATTATTCCATATGATGGGTCTGATCCAAATCCTTGGTCTGAGGTTGAATCTCATAGTGGAGACAAAGTCAAACGGGAGTTTTGGACTCTATCGAGGATAGAGTTAGATGATGCAAGGATAGCAGGGTTTCCTAAGAACCTCTGGGCGACAGGCAAACATGATGTGGGGCTTATTAAGAACTGTCCGCCTGTGCATATCACTCCAAAATCTGATTTCAGACCAAGGAAAGCTCAGTATCCACTAAAACCAGAAGCAGTCGCAGGCATTACCCCAGTGTTTAACTCACTGTTGGAGGCAGGAGTTATAATAACATGCGACTCATCTCCTGTGCGAACCTCAATCTTTCCGCTAAAAAAAATAAAATTAATTAATTCAAAAAAAAAAAAAGAAAGAAAAAACAGCTCCAGGAGAACCGGAGGAGTGGAGATTCATGCAGGACTTGAAAGCAGTAAATGATGCAGTAGCTCAACGCGCGCCAAACGTGCCCAACCCATACACTATTTTAACTCAGTTCTCTCCTGACAGCCAATTGTTTTCTGATCTGGCAAACGCCTTTTTCAGCGTACCGGTACACCCAGATAGTCAGTTCTGGTTTGCATTTTCTTTCAATGGGAAAACTTACACATTCACCCACCTCTGTCAGCAGTATTGGGAATCACCGACAATTTACAATGAGGCATTGAAAGCTAGTTTGGAGAATCTCAAGCTGACCCCCGGATCTATTGTGTCGCAGTATATCGATGACTGTCTATTAGCTGCTCCCACAAAAGAGCAATGTGAAAAAGACACAGTTACATTGCTCTGTCATCTCGCTAAAGAGGGACATAAAGCAAGCTTGTCAAAATTACAGTTTGTACAAAAGGAGGTGAAGTTTCTGGGACATTTAATCTCTGCAGAAGGTAAAAGACTAAAAAAAAAAAGAGTCAAATAGGGTAGAAGCAATTCAGAAGATTCCTAAACCTGTCACCAAAAAACATCTGATGTCATTTTTGGGGATGTGCTCATATTGTAGAATGTTTATTCCTGATTACTCTGTTCTAGAGGCACCGCTGAGTGCTATTGCTCACGGACAAGGCCTTCACACACACAGCGTGTCCCTTGGACCAAGGACGCGGAATTGGCTTTTCATCGATTAAAACGTGCACTTCAAACCACACCCATATTAGGTATTCCTGACCCAGCTTGACCTTTCACTCAAACAGTTCATGAAAAAGGTGGATGTATGACCTCAGTCCTCTTACAGGACCACGGAGGTAAGTTACGCCCGGTGGCGTATTTTTCAGCCAAGTTAGATCCAGTAGCAGCTGGATTACCCATGTGTCTCAGAGCTGTAGCAGCGGCAGAAAAAGCTGTCAATGCCTCACGAGATATTGTAGGATACAGCGATTTAACATTGTTGGTACCACATGCAGTGTCGCAACTCCTTTTAGAACAAAAAACAGCTCACATGACAGCAGCTAGATGGCTCAGATATAACACTGTTTTGTTGGAAATGCCTAATGTCACTGTTAAATGATGTACTGCTGTTGCTAAATGCAATTTCCCCACTGCGGGACAAATAAAGAAATATCTTACTCTTACTCTTACTTACTGTGCTTAACCCAGCAACCCTTCTGCCAACAGAGGATGACGGAGATCATCATGATTGTGTTGCTGTTGTTAATGAAGTTTGCAGTCCGAAACCAGATTTGCAGGAAACACCGCTGACCAATCCGGATCTGTTTGTGGATGGATCTGCATCCAGATATTCTGAGACAGGCCAAAACTGTGTTGGGTTTGCTATAGTAACACAAAATGACACACTGATTGCACAATCATTGCCCTCACATTTATCGGCGCAAGCTGCTGAGCTCACAGCATTGATTGAAGCATGCAACTTAGCTAAGAGAAAAACAGTCACAATTTACACTGGTACTCTCTGGAAACATAGAGGGTTCCTTACGTCATCCGGCAAACCTATAACACACCACAGCCTGATTTCTGAACTCCTGGAGGCAATTCTGCTCCCAAAAGATATTGCAGTTTGCAAATGTGAAGCACACACTAAAGTACTGATCCCATCTCCACAGGAAATGCAAGAGCAGATGCAGCTGCTAAGGCTGCAGCCAAAAACCCACCGCCTATC